CATATCGGATATCGGCCAAAATCCCAATATCCTGCATCCCTAATTCTAGGTAGACCGCGTCCTTGGAGGAAGCAGCCCAGGATTTCGAACAGAGCCATTGACTCTTCAGCAATCCCTCACACTAAGCATGCTTGTAGCGACAGTGGAGAGGAAAAACTCCCTTTAAACAGGAAGAAACCTCCAGCAGAACCAGGCTCAGTGTGAGCGGCCATCTGCTGAGGCCCACTGGGGTTCAAGGAGATACTGATACACTGACCTTCCCTTACAGAATAAGGTGTTAATAAATTTTCAGTCTAAATCCACGTTCTTACTAGGGCTGTTGCTTTAATGCGATAAATACACCAATTCAATGCACAAACATTTTCAATTTGGCCTAACGAAGGAACGGCGGTAATAACCGGTGACCTCATTTTTCTGACCAAACCGGATTCTGATCAATGGATCCCTGCACAGAGCTTCGTAGGCTGAGTGGGAGAAGGGTTGCATAAAAGAACTGCAGCCTTTGAGGACCATTCCAAAAAAATAGAAAGTTAAAATCAATCCACTGGACTTTTTTTTTCAAGTTTGAAGACGTTTCTTTTCCATCCAGGAAGTTTTTGCAGTTCAAAATGTCAGAAATAGGTTTGAGTTCCAGGTTTTATACAGTAAAGAACGCAAAGCCTTATAGATGGAGGACACACGCATGTGAAAGATGAAAATCACATTAAAAGACATGAATTTCACAGGACAGTGTCACCATTTGCTATAGAAATCATATATATAGACACAGCGCCTTGTTAAAGTATTCACCCCTCCTTGAACTTTTCGACCTTTTACCACATTTCAGGCTTCAAACATAGTGAACGAATTTTAGAACATTTTAGTGAACGAATGGGACACAATCATGAAGTGGAGCGAAATTTGTTGGATATTTTAAACTTTTTAAACAAATAATAAACTGATAAATTAATGGGATCCTTTACTTCCTGTGCAGCAAACTGTCTCCAGAAGATTGATCAAATATTGACCTAAATGACTGATGATGATCAATAGATCATCATCAGATACTGAGGAGGAGATACTCAGGGGCGGATCTAGAAAAATATTTATGGGGTGGCAAGAGGGGGGCAGGAATTTTTTAGGGGTGGCA